CCTCTGCCGTCCTCTTCTCCTTTTGCCTTCAATCTTTCCCAGCATCAGGGTCTTCTCCAAAGAGATCTCTGTCCAAGTATAGAGAGAGCTTAATGGAGTAAATGTCAGCCCCACTCCCTGTGATATTTCAGATAATAAAATGCAGAGCCACTGGCTTTTTATTGACCAGATATGGCTGGGGAAGGGAATGATCTGTAGTGGTCCATATGTTGCTAAATTAAAACTAACACCATTAATACAGCTGTCAATGCTGGCTGCAACTGGTGGGCACTGGAGCTCAGCAACCTCTGAACATCCACAGATTTCCCACCCTTGTTTTATAGCAATTAAGCATTCTTCTTTTTTAATGAATTTTCCCTCAGTTCACTCAGTAATCCTAATCGGCCCATTTGCTGCTACCCTAACCCTATCAAGGTGTACTGCTCCCAGGGTAGCTTGGTGGTTGAACAGCCTCTGGTATGCTGAGTAGTCTGACTTCACTCCTTTGATCTCATCACCTCTCATTTCTAGCCTTTTTATATCTGCCCCCTACTAAAGCTGCAAATATGAGTTTTGCACCCTAGCTGTTGACAAAGCAAAATGGGATTCCAGCCTCTAGTTGCTATACTCATTGATTTCTCTTGTGCTCATTGTTCGTACACTTGATAGACGCCCTCATTTTACCAGTATTCCACATCAGCAAAAACCCAAGCAAGGGAGTATTAAAAGTCCAGTGGCTTATGACACAAAGACTGAACTGCTCACAGTGTAATTGCTACACTAATTCCTGATGTAAATCAAATGGTCAGTATAAGATTTGTATTGGAACAAATCAAAATAGTACTCAGATTCTGAAAAATCCCTCACTAACTGCAGGAGCTGAATTCAGCTCAGCTGAATCTGTCCTAACCAAATCATAAATCATAGTAATCTGTAAGAGGAATGTTAGTTGCTGTGTTGCTATTGTTTAACTTGTACAATTTTAGAATACACACATATACATATACATATACATATACATATACATATACATACACACACATACCCTGAACATTTCAGGGTATTGTTCACTTCTTTTCTCTGAGCAGCAAAAAATTATCTAAACAGTGTTAAACTCTTCCTTCCTTCCTTCCTTCCTTCCTTCCTTCCTTCCTTCCTTCCTTCCTTCCTT